CATCATCATCATCATCATCATCATCATAGACGGTGAAGGTGCCCAACAATGCACTGTTGATCACCTCGACCCAACAATATGCACCCATGTTTACGCATCGAAATTTTTTCCGTTTCATTCCCAAAGTTATGCAAATCAAGATTGCAAGAAAAATCTAGCATTAAAGAAACCACTCCCCTCAAGGGACTCGAAGATATTGTCGGAGATTTCCAAATCAGGGCCTAGGAGGAGAGAGCACAGTGCTACCAATCTCAGAGATCTGTGACAGAAGACCAGTGGATACATCTGAAGATCTAACAGGTTCTTCTTCCCTATGACGGCTTCAAAGCAGCCTCTTGACATTCTCGTCATCGGCGCCGGCATTGCTGGTCTCTCGACAGCCATTGCCCTTGGAAAACAGGGGCATCACGTTGTGGTATGCTCCCAGAAACAACATTCAAGCTTGCTGTAAAGTCAATTTCTCACGCCGTTAAGATTTTGGAAAAATCTGCTTTTTTAAAGGAGACAGGTGCTGCAGTCCATTTGCCACCAAATTGCACTGCCTTACTACGTTGGATGGGCATTGATCCGGTTGATTTCGGAGGCACATTGCTGCATGAGGTCAGATTCGTCTGATGACAAAACAAAGTGATTTGAATTGATTCGTTTTTCGCTTAATCCAGATACACCGGTATGGATTTGACGGGAAGTTGATGAGCAAGAGAGAGTTCACCGACACTCGTCATCATTGGCAAGCAGTAGGCAAATGAAGCCGACTCAGCCGGGACAACAATTTAATGTATCATAGGAGTGGTACCTCGTGCATCGAGTTGAGCTGCACAATCACCTCAAGAAACTTGCCCTTGAGACCGCAACGCTACATACCCGGTGTAGAATCACCGAGGTCATTGTGGAAGGGACTTGCCCGTCGGTTACCCTCGATGATGGTCGCACTTTCAAAGCCGACCTGCTCCTCGGTGCAGATGGACTGCATGTATGAATTTTAGATTATAAACACTGGTGTTTGTCCGAATCTCCCTGTTCTGACTGTTTCATAGTCCCAAATTCGCGACAGTATCGCCCCGGGGTCTCCCTCCCCATATCCCGTCGGCAAGTCTTGTTTTCGCTGGCTGCTTCCAACAGATCAATTAAGGCAAAATGCAAGCACTGTAGATTTTGTGCGAGACACCGGCTTGTTTATTGAGTGGGCATCTAATGACCGGCGACTCGTGGCCTACCCTTGCTCTGATAACAAAATCCTCAATCTTTGTGCATTTGTCCCTTTGGAGGAAGTTCACGCAGATAATCAGAGTGACAGTATGGGGTTTCCTTGGTTGCTGACATAGAACGCCACTGACATATTGGAATCTATAGATTGGCAGACAGTTGGAGATAATGCTACAATTGTCAAGGCCTTTTCTAAATTTTCACCCGGAGTTCAACAAATCATCGCGAGCGCGGACAAAACCCTCAAAGTATGGGATCTGTACGATATGGATGCACTCCCGACCTGGACTCGAGGTCACGCTGCTCTTCTAGGAGACGCAGCACATCCTTTCCAGCCATGTAAGCAACTGAATAGCTTCAATCTGACAAACCGCGTGCGAGACACGTACTGACAACTCGATAGACATGGGACAGGGTGCAGCCATGGCAATTGAAGATGCTGTCAGCATCGCCACCTTGCTTCCATATGGCAGTACATCGCACGATATACCCATGCGACTTGAAATGTATCAAACGGGTCGTCGGCCACGGGTCGACCTTGTCCTCCACTACACTCGGATGAATGGACGGGACGAGAACGATGCAGCCGGCGATAGAATGTCAGGTATGCTTGCTTTTATATGCTTGGAAATATTCAAGCTGACAGTGACAGCTGCGGAAATGGTAAAGATCATGAATATTTGTTTCTCGCACAATGAGATTGAGCACTCTGCAAATTTGCTCGATGGTAAATCAACGGATCAATGTTGGAGATGAACAGGAGTGAACTATAGAAAAAGTGATATAGCACAGTGCATGTGTGCTTAAGCGGTTGACAGGGCCTTGGAAAGTCAAACTCTTGCGACGTTCACACGGTATGGGAGGGGAGAGCCCGCCAAGGTTGAGATCTTACTCGTCCATGTACCAGTTAAGTCAAAGAAATAACATTTTGGTCCCGAAAGATACGGTCCATCTAAAGTTGATGGTAAAATAAAGAGGCTGATATCTAAATTGTCAAGATTGGAGGCGTGCATTTTGTACATTCTTCGACAACACAACCTCAGGTTGAGTTATTTGTACACAATGTCAGGCATCAATTCCATGCCTTGGGCATCTTTCAAGCTCGGGCCATCTATCATTCTTGGCCACTCCGCCCCCCCCCCCCTAACCAAACGGCTGGGCCGGGTATGTTGTGCTCCTAGACGGTCATATAGAGATATGTCATCTGGATATTTAAGCCCCAGTTATCTGCCAGATTCATTTCGCGTCAGGCGGAAGCCCGTATCAAACCCGAACTTGCGAGGTACGGCGCATGCAGATCAGCTGGAAGCAACAGCCTATGCCACCAATACCCAGTCTCTTGTACCCCCATCATATACGGACCTTTATGGTCCGCCACCTCCCAGGACTGTAAGTCCGGGCTCACTACCGCGACCAAGCACTGCGGGACCAACTTCATCCTCTACTTCTCCGCAGCCGACGTCTGTTCAAAAGGCATACAGCGAAGCTCGGCATTTCCTCACCGGTCTAATCAATCGTCCGATAGAATCAAACAAGCATGTTACTATTTTGCGACATTCCCATGGACTGGTTTTTTACCGTGGACCCTCTACATCGGTCGCTATATCGATCTTCTCCGATGCCCCCTTACCACCTGAACATACCCTATGGTTACAGAGCAAAGGTTGGACCGGGAAGACCGGGATGCAATTTAAGTCGTTCCTCCGTCTCCGAGATAGCTGGCTAGACGTGACCCCGGGTATGCCGTTGAGGGCCGACCAGGTGACTCCGGATGATGAACGAGCTTGGCAACGCGATATCAAGAAATTTCGAAAGAAGGCCCCGCCCCGTCCGCGCGATACACATCAGCTACGTGAGACTGCCGTTGTGCGAATTCCCGCCGAAGCCGGCGATGGTTATTTTCAGCTAGTTCTCTGCCAAGGGGTCAGGAAGAAGGTGCTTGGCACTAGCCCCGTGTTCCGGGTGCTCTCTACATCCACTGCCCCCAGTTCGATCCGGGGCGCGAGCTTAAGCACGCTGCCTCTGGAGGTCGGGGCTATGGTTGTAAGCCTTTATGCCCAAACTGCTGCCCGAACCACGGCAGCTCCGGCCGCCATGGCCATTCACGCAAAAGCTGTTGCATTGCGTCCATCGTGGGTGACAAAGAATGCGGCCCAAAAGGTTTACACGACTAGTGGTATCGAGAACCGCGTGGGCGGTATTATCAATGGCCCTAAAGGTCCCATTGGGCGATATAAGATAAATCCAGCAGCGCCGGAAATAGTCGGAAGCAGCGCGGTTTCTATCGATGCCGGTCCTCAGCCACCGTTTCCTATGACATTCAAATCTCGCTATCAAACCGATGAACTTTTGTACCGCAACAACCCTGACGGCGCACCAAAGTTGACCTTAATTAGAATGCCTGACTGGGTGACGGAGCAGTTAAGGGGCTACTTCTTCGGCTGGGCTCGATTCGATACTGGGTCGAGCAAAGATCCCCCGACTGATGAATGGTGCCCAGCGATTTTATCTGTGCGAGCGCTAGATCCCCTCCAGGCGGCGAGAGTAAATTTGGCTCAGCTATCAAAACGTGTGGTCGCAATTCGCCTCCTCGAGGATCTTCCTCTCCATTCAAATAAAATTGAAATCCGTGTTTTGGGATACCTTCGCGCTGAAATCCCACCGCCCACCGGGATCACGAGCAAAGAACTCGCTGAGGCGCAAGCGGCCGCTGCAGAGGCGGCTTTGCTCGCTGATGTATACGACGCATCCGTGGTGCAGGATACTCTGGCTCATCCTGCGTGGGCCGCGGAACACCCAGCGATGCCAGACCATCAGCAAAACTCGAGTTGGATTGATCGCACTGTCGAGGGGTATACCGATATCATCACACGTGGACAGAAATTAGTTGAACAAGTTCCATTGCACCTAGTTGGAGTTCGCTCTGTCACCGATGGGCTCAGAGAGAGCCAGGTTGCTGTAAACGGGTTCTATATAGTCCGCTAATTACTGACGATACACTTGTGGGCCCGTTTGCAGATACCCAATATGGACATAATCCGATATATATAATTTTTCATTGCTTAAGATTTGATTCGAGCTCTGGAGTCATCAAGTACAAAGACTTCCATCTAGGCTAAATCCAGTCAAATGCCCCCGATTACCACAAATGTGCAAACACATAGCATTGCCACATCAAAGTCTAAAACCCTAAGGTCCAACTGGAGGCTCCGAAGCTGCCAAGTTACATTGACGGAACAATCGCACCTCGTCAGGCTTGAACGCACCAACCACAGAATGTAGTACGCCACGATTGTTGAACAACACCAAGTCGTTATCTTCCCAGTCATGCGGATACACATACTGAGGACTGATGGCCGGCCGCTGCAAGTTATAGACAATGTCTCGCACACGGGCCAAGTCATCGATCGTGGATCCATCGGCGCAGTGAATACGGCGCACGGCAGAGGGGTGAATCTGCAAGGCCAATTTGCCCGTCACTGGGTTTTTCCAGGTCATTGGGAAGACCATAATCTTACTAGGGTCAATAGGCGGCAGTTCCGAGTCGGATAACTCAAGGCCTTCTGAGTGTATACCGAGCCCCGTGGATCGGGAATGGGCTTGGCTCATCCAAATATACCTGGTCAAATAGTTAGCTCATTTGATCAAAGCAATGTACATAACAGGAATTTTTACGGATGTGGGGCATATTCTATTTTGCTCGTCTTCACAAACGCCTGGTCTTCGGGCGAAAGAAGTTCGAACATCCGCTCGCCACTAACAAACGCAGTTGTGCCAAGTGGTACATCCATTTTTTCTCCGGTTCCATCATCATACAGTAATGTCTGTCGGCGGCCTTTGGGCACGCTGACAGCCATTAGCGTTGTCACCTGGGGCGGGTACAAGCCGTAAAGCGCAGCGTCGATATGCCAGCGATAGAACCGGGTGAATTCATAGTCCTTCTCGTCCGGGATGTGATCTTGGTGAAATGTCCGGTGGTGAGGATGACGTAATGTGATGTCTTTGAGACCTTCGTACGAATCAATGTGTCCATTTCCAATCACCTGCACTTGTGGCTGATGAGGGATAGTCTTGAGATCAGGATGAAGAATGCTTCTTTTCACATCGATGGTCTTGCCATGTCCATAGTTGTCAGATACTGGGTCAAAGCGCTTAGTCAGCTCATACTGGGCTTTAGGTGATAGCCCTTGCTGGTGTTTGAACACCACGACGTGATACTCGTAGAGGGCCTTCCGAATCGTCTCAAACTGCTCCTCTATATGACTGTTAGCCTGTGCTCTAAACAGTTGGCAGTAGTGCACAAACCAGTGAGTTTTTCTAAATCAACACCTTCGATCTCAACACCGAAATCAATGCTTGAGCCCGGAGGATGTTGAAGTGGGCGGACGGTAAGTGGTAGCATGGCCATGGTTTCGGATTATTCAGGGTTTCAGTTTTGCAGCTCAAAATATGCCCATAAGGTGATCTACAAGTGAGTCTTTATAATTCTCGGCCGATCATTAAAGTTTCGGTTCTTCTGACCAGATTGTGGACGGTTAACGGCGTATACCGAGTTCCTCCCAAATCAGAGAGAGAATGTCTGGATTGATGGGAATGATAAAGCGGTTATCAATGGCTATTGTCCCCAGCGAGTCTTTTGATAAACAAAATTCCACACACGGAGCAATAAGACTTTGAAATTTTCGTTGTCATTGGATGTCGACAATAGACGGGAGGGTAGTGTGGTGATAAGGCGGGTGAGTGGTAAGAACACTCCCGCTCATTTGTTTGATACGTCATGTACAGAGTAGTTGCCAAACATTGCAAACTCCCCAGATTTTTATAAACATGGCAAACATGACAAACATGACAAACAGAGAGTCCAGGGGTCTCCATCTAATGGGGTCGCTGGCAGTTACATAGTTACATACATGGGTAGATACGTCGGTACTTCTGAGGTTGGCCAATCTCTCTATTGATTCCCCTCTTTATGTACAGAAATGTCCTTAGGTCTGTACAATCTTTGATTTTTGCCGCCTTCGTACACATCCAACAACACACCGTACAAGACATCGGAAAAGAAGATCCAGGAACGGATCGATGGGCTCTTTGTTAAACTCTTACACTGTCAAAGACAAAGATGAGCGGCTGGCGATTCTTTCTATGTTAAATATCAGCAACTTCCACCCAATCCCACGTGATTTTGGTGGTTGCGCGGCACCAATAATCTCATCCAACCTAGTGTGCATATCAACTTCCTCTGGGCGCCATGCCCGTGGATCATCAGAGTCCATCGTTCCATAATAGCTCTAGCCTGTGCGAGTCTAAGGAGCGTACTTGGCTCAAACAAGCTGCGCCGGGAACTCAAAAAAGTGCACATGGCACGTGGTACATTCCAAAGTTTCGGATCATTGGATGACATCCATCTCGCCTCTTTTGCAATATCCTCTCGAGAATCCAGTAATCCAAACCCGCCCGTTATCCAAACAAAAAGACAACCAATTTATCCACCCTCCCAATCTCACTCCGTTTCACAAGTCGGAGACAACTCTGGAAAGGAACGGACCCTATTATGGGTTCATCGACCAACAACTCGTTTATTTTAGATGGCAGATCATCTATTCGCCACTATACTCGCGGAAGAGTACCCGCAGTGGCGGGTGCAGCATCCACAACTTCCTATGCGGTGCATATATCGAACCTTTCCAGAAGGGTTCCGTATTGTGTGCCAAGACCGTTCACAGCAACCACACTCCCGAGCGCAGCAGCCGCCACGAAGTCGGCAGTAGGTCCGTTCGACATTCCAGAGCTGTTTAGGTCTGTGCCGTAGACTTTTTGTGTACTGATGAACGAGGCACCCTGGTGGCTTGCACTCCATGACTCCTGCCATCCGCTCCAGGTGTTGGGAGCATTCAATGTTGAGTAGCTTAAGCTCGACATCGCACTCCTGAAGTCTCACCAGGGTGGGTGGTTCTGGCGGGCTTTCATACTGAACTTGGGTCTCATAGTGATGAGTTGTCGCATCGACGTGTATTTTTCGTTGGATAATACTGTTAACTCTTCTTGTCTCCTGCCGATGAGAATTTTAGGTTTGGATAACAATTTTGTATGAGGCCTTGATGCAGCAGACCTACTGGAACTTGTTCTAATCCACTACGAAAATTTTCTTTTGCGAGACCTTTTCGGGGCCGACGCTCAGGTGGAAAACCGACGTCATTTTGAAATAGGAACACGAAGCAAAAATGGTTGATATCTCAGATATACAGCTACCCAATTTTAACTCAACATACATCTTTTGAATCTATCAAAATCAAGATTTGGATAGAGAAGACCAATTCAGAGAGTGAACCCTATGGAAGAGAGGGTACATCCGTGTTTTCCTTCAGGAGATGAGACGAGAAGACTCTACGGAGTATACCTTGATAACGTCAAGGCGGCAAATCGTCCTTCCGACCCCGTAAGGCCGGCTTCAATTGTCGTGTAAAAAGAGTCCATTTAAGCCCCCGACTACCTTTACAATTTTCCAATACTGGGGAGGCCCATCGTGTTGCCCAGGAGCCCCATATCCCGTGGAAATCCTATTTAGAGTCCAGATGGAATGTACAGCCCAGTCAATGCCGTCTGTATTGCTTTGTTATCTGTACTTGGTCGCCCATCCAGGGTCTTGCGAATCAAAGCGCCCGTCTTCACAAAACTCAAGACCGTGGGAGACTCTGAAAACCCTCGACGGACCGTCCCGGAACCCTGACGCTGTCACCCATCTATTTGATGTCTGTACCTGAAGCAACAAGTTCTACATCCCTGACGTCAAGATAACTAGCGCATAGCTAGGGCTGGTTTTGAGATAGGAAGGAGTCGGAGTTGCCGAGGGGTTGGGCTCTGCTCCAACCTTTGGCCCACCACATAGATTAGCGACCACTAGTTGGGATTTTGTATGGTTTTATGCGGTCTGGATCAATTCTGCTAGCGGGGAGAGGGGGATCTCTGCACACTATACCACTGGAGGGTGGACCCTGGGAGATAATATTGACGGCACACAAAAGTTGGATACGAGTACGTTACTGATACCATCCGTTCACTGCCAGCTCTCATCCGTTTTGTTCATACGCGCACTGTGTTGGTTACGAGCCCATGGGCCTCGAATGCGGTGTATTGAGTGCAAATTTACTCCGTACACTGCCCGGAGGGTCCCTCATGACGCGTCTATGCAACCCCGCTTTAGTTGTGACGGTCGATATTGGCGAGACAAACCTGGCAACAGCCCGTAAGCTTGGGGTGCACAAGTTCGGCAGCAACCTATGGATCAGAATTAGCAACCAAAATTTGACTCGGTCATTGGAATGGATGGGACTCTCAAGTCGTTCCCATCATGTCGGAAGATGGTGGGTGTGAGGACTTGAATCGCGAAGATTCTTGTTGTGCGCAATACTACGAAAGTGGATTTGCGCCCGAAATTGTTGGGAGAAATAGCCCAGACCACCTTGGAAAGCTTGGTGGCCCGACACCTCAGGCACCAACATGTCACTAGTGCTATCCGTTTGGTTGGACATAGATCCGTCATGGAGCATGAAGTTGGGCAGTTCTTCGTCCCATAAATGTGATTCCTCTCAATGAAAGGGAAAAGAGAATTAGGGATCGCACAGTTGGATTCCTGCCCAACCAATTCAGAAGGTAAAATTTTAGCACCAAACGCTCCCAGTTGCCATCTGATTTTGGCTCGTCAAAAATGGACTGAAGTACGGGGTTACTCCGGACACCGTAGGGAATTGACTCAAAAGTCATAACCCAGAAAGCTGTGACCAATTGAGAATTTGCGCCGAGGGCCTGTGCCCCTTTTTAAATGAGGTGTATCTCTAATACTTGCGGGATGGCCTGTCAGAACACGGCTGGTATCGGAACCTGATAGAGTCAGGGGAATAGTTCAACTTCACACGTCCCCTCCGTATTCCATCAGTCCTTCTGATTTCCGGTAATATACCCTATATCGCAGAAGAAAAACCAGAGAGTCTGCAAAACAATTGGGGGTCCGTTTTGCCTGGAGAACATTCCTTAGGTCTCAGAGCCGGCGGACCAACGCCTACGACATTCATGGCAAAACTGGTTTTAAAGTTAGCTAGTAAACATATCAATGGGGAGTTAAATAGATTATGGGCCACTCCCTGTGTATCTATGTACCTAGATACCGAGTAGGTAAGAACTGATTTGTATAACCCGTCAACTCCAACCCTGTGTCGTACGTGGAGAGAGTTGTAGAGTTCCTCCGGTGACAACACAACCCCCATGTTCCAATCTTCTCCAAAAGCTTTGAAACAAGGATGACACTAGGAACCTTGGAAGATTTTGAATTCTAGAAGCAGTTTGATTGGTCGGACCAACAATCACCCTGTCTCTCCATGCACGTTGACTGGCTCAAAGTTAATCGCGCTCGTGTCCAGTGGATCCCGATGGGGCCAGGTGGAGCGAGGTGGATTCTGATGCCATTCATTCGCTTGCATTTTAATCTGCCGGTCATGTTTTTTGGGTTATTTTTTCCATATTCCCGTTCTGTGGCGTTTTCTTTTTTTCTCTTTTTCTGTTTCGTCCGAATTTTGGTTTGGGATTTCTCTTACTTCTCTTATCTCTTTTGCACCCTCTCTACGGAGTAGTCAGCTACCCTACCTAATATCTACAACTGCATCTACCATATGCAGATCAGAAACATCTTTCAATAACTTCATTCCTGATGGCTGCTGATGATGCATTCCGTCGCCCTTCCGCGGTGATGGTCGAACAAGGCGTGAGCACCTCCAATGCGGATCGTACCCTAGAGGATATGGGATACAAGCCTGAATTCTCTCGCAATCGATCTATCTGGCAAGTCACTTTTATGTGCTTCATTCTCTCCTCGGTTCCCTACGGCTTGTCGACAACTCTATACTACCCACTCGCCGCAGGTGGGCCGGCCAATATCATTTGGGGCTGGGTGATCGTCACTTTTTTGATTCTATGTGTGGCTATCTCACTGGCGGAAATCACTTCGGTCTACCCAACTGCAGGTGGTGTCTACTATCAAACATTCGTCTTGTCACCCTTGTGGTGTCGTCGCGTTGCATCGTGGATCTGTGGTTGGTCTTACGTGGCGGGGAATATCACCATCACCCTCGCTGTCAATTTTGGGACTGCCCTGCTCTTCGTGGCTTGTCTGGATGTCTTCGAAAAATCGCCTGGCGTTGGGATCACTGATGATTTCCAGACCTATCAGACCTTCCTCATATTTTTAGCCATCACTTTGCTGACGCACGCCATCTCGGCGTTTGGCAACAAATGGCTGCCGTGGTTGGAGGTAGGCGTTGCTCGTGCTCCTTGTCCCCAGGAAGCAACATTCCTAACTGTCGTTTCTAGACATTCGCCATTTTCTGGACTATGGCCGGTTTACTCGCCATTGTCGTCTGCCTGTTGGCTATCGCCAAGCAAGGTCGTCACGATGCGTCATGGGTCTTTGGTCACTTCGAAACTCAGGCCGGGTGGCCCGCGGGGTGGTCGTTCTTCATCGGTCTCTTGCAGGCCGCCTACGCTACATCGGCGACCGGTATGATTATCTCGTGAGTCCGACCCTGAATCTAAGTCGGCCGTTCCCTGTACGCTAACATGGGGTGCCCGTTAGTCTCTGCGAGGAGGTTCAAGAGCCCGCCGTCATGGTCCCGAAGGCCATGGTCGGCACCGTCATAATCAACTTTATTGCTGGTCTTCTCTTCTTGATTCCCGTCTGTTTCGTGCTTCCCGATCTCACATACCTGGTAAATCTGGCTTCGGGCCAGCCCACCCCTGCCATCTTCAAGGCTGCCATCGGCAACTCCGCAGGTACATTCTGTCTGCTTATTCCCCTCCTTGTGCTGGGTATTATTTGCGGTGTCGGTTGTGTGACCGCCACCTCTCGTTGTACTTGGGCCTTTGCCCGCGATGGGGGCATTCCCGGCTCGGCCTGGTGGAGCACTGTCCACAAGACCCTCGACATTCCTTTCAACGCTTTAGTATTGGGTATGGTCGTGGAAATTATTCTCGGTGTGATCTACTTTGGCTCTACTGCTGCATACAATGCCTTCTCGGGTGTTGGTGTCATTTTTTTGACCATGAGCTACGCCTGCCCGATCGCCGTTTCCCTGATCTTCCGTGGTCGTGAGGATATCAAGAACGGTCGCTTCAACTTTGGGGTCTTTGGCCTAATCTCTAACGTTGTTGCTCTTTGTGAGTTGCTTTTCTAACCCCCCCCCCC